ATGTGGAAAAGGAGAAATCATTTTCTTTCCCATGTTTGAATGAAAAACACAACAATGCTCTACAAAATGATTTGAAATGCTGATAATTAATAACATTTCCATAATCAAACCCTTTATTTGTCTTTTGGTTACATCGATCGCATCGACCTCCTACTACAAAGTAGTTGAGACTTGGGAAGGGCAGATCTTCTGAACATTTAAATTTCATCTCATTAAAAGCAACATTTTTTAGAGTTTTCATACGGAACTTTTGTATTGAGTTCATGAACTTCGTATACCTAGCTGTCAATGGGTATAACATATATTTCAGAGATATATATTTTGTTGGTGATAGTACGTACAGCCTATTGGTATATGATACTTTACTAATTCATATGCTTTTGTAGACTACTTTCCCACACACACACACACACACACACACACACACATATATATATATATATATATATATGTATATGTATATGTATATAAACTAAGGTTTTTCGGCTACGCGTATATGCACTTTACATGGTTATTCTACGTATGCATGCAATAAAATAATTAAACTTTGATGTGGATAGAAGTTTAAAAATATATAGTACTTCTTATTGAACTAATAAAATCCACTTAAACGAATCCCTTTTGTTGGCCATTAGAGGGCAGATATTCAAAAGTTGTATGTCCAATGGCAGCAAAAATAGCACAAATTTGGCTTCATTATCCATGGCAACAAATACCTATTTCTACTTTTCACACACCTCTCTTAATTTTCGAAAAATTAATAACAGTGTGTGGGGTAAAATTGGGTGTGTGGATAGCAATATCGTAAAAGAAATGACTTTGATTTGGAAAGCACAAGTTTCAATACATGATTACGGCTCGAACCATTTTATGTAACATCCCACATCGCCCAGGGGAGTGAATCCTCTAAGCCTTATATGTATATTCTCATCTCTACCTAACACGAGGCCTTTTGGGAGCTCATTGGCTTCGAGTTCCATCGGAACTCCAAAGTTAAGTGAGTTCACACGAGTGCAATCCCATGATGGGTGACCTACTGGGAAGTTCTCGTATAAGTTCCCAGAAACAAAACCGTGAGGACGTGGTCGGGGCCCAAAGCGGACAATATCGTGCTACGACGGAGTCGAGCCCAGGATATGGTGGGGGCCTAGGCCGGGATGTGACAATTTGGTATCAAAGCCAATCCCTGGCCGAAAGTGTGCCAACGAGGACGTCGGACCCCCAAGGGGGGTGGCTTGTAACATCCCACATCGTCCAGGGGAGTGGATCCTCTAAGCCTTATATGTATATTCTCATCTCTACCTAGCACAAAGGCCTTTTGGGAGCTCATTGGCGGGTTCTATCGGAACTCCGAAGTTAAGCGAGTTCGCGCGAGAGCAATCCAATGATGGGTGACCTACTGGGAAATTCTCATGTGAGTTCCCAAAAACAAAACCGTGAAGGCGTGGTCGGGACCCAAAGCGGACAATATCGTGCTACGACGAAGTCGAGCCCGGGATATGGTGGGGGCCCGGGCCGGGATGTGACATTTTATATATGTCGTTCAAGACACAAAGAGTGATTAGTGTTATACTAATTATTTATTAGCTAATGCTTGAACATTATGGTGTATACACACACACACACACACACACACACACACACACACAAACACATATATCCTTGTTAATCTTTTTTTAAAAAGTAAATGCAACATCCTACCTCTCTCTCCTTATTATAAATAATATCGTTTGTTAAAAAAAGAAAAAGAAATGCAACACAAAGAGCACACATTTATATGTATCTCACATTGATTATTAGTGGGGTATAAAGTAGGTTGGCATAACTTAAATAGAAATGTATCGTACCAAAATACATATAGTAGTGTATATATATCATATATGTATTTTTCACACAGACAACCTATATATGTTTAGTTTTTTTTATGGGATACTTTGGATGTGGTCCCTAGTCCCTAACACTATTTGACTAAAACTTTAATGGTATTCAAAGTTTGATCAAAGTCCCTTGACTTTGTACACCTCATTATATTACTATTAATATTAATATTTTTATTGTTTTGACATTAATTGTTTGATATTTTATGAGATTTATAATCCTATAAATTTAAAATCCCTCATTATAATAGTATTAGAAACGGCTACAATAAAAAAATTCAAACATTTTGATTGAATAAATGGACAAAAATTAAGTAACAATAAGAAATAATAAATGGCAAAAGAATATATCCATAGTGTTAAAAAAAATTGGTACATTTTACAAAAAAAAATTGGTACATTTCACATATAACAAAGTGGTACATTAATAAAGAAGAATGGGTACATTATAAATAAATTAGGGTCCAAATAAAAGATTAAAAAATTATGAGTACAAATGAAATTTTAAAATATATGGGCGCAAAAAGAATTTAATACATGGGTACAAATAAAAACTAAAAAGAAAATACTACAAATTTTTAAAAAAGGTTGCAAATTAAAAGTTGGTACAAACTAAAAATATAAATATATGATACAAAGTTTAGCCATAAAACATAAATATACCATATGTAATTTTTCTATCATTGATTAATTATACAATATCACGTGACGGTATGTAACATCTCACATCACCCATGTAAGTGATCCTTAAATGTATATTCTCATCCCTACCTAGCACGAGGCCTTTTAGGAGCTCACTGGCTTTGAGTTTCGTAGGAACTCCGAAGTTAAGCGAGAAGGAGGCCAGAGCACTCCCAGGATGGGTGACCCACTGGGAAGTTGCTCGTGAGTTCCCAAAAACAAAACCGTGAGGGAATGGTAAGCCCAAAGCGAACAATATTGTGCTACGGTGGTGGAACGGGCCTGGGATGTGTGGACCCGGGCTGGGATGTGACACTGTAAACACATGGACACAAATACAAATAAAACTTTAAAAAATATGGGCACAAAAATAAATTAATATATGGGTACAAATTAAAACTGAATTGAAAATTGGTACAAATTAAAAATAAGTACAAACTAAAAATAAAAATATATGATAAAAAATTTAGCCATAAATATAAATATACTAATTGTAACATTTTTAACACTAAAGGAATATATTTAAAAATAAAAAATATTTTATTATTGAAATAATTAATGATGTTATTAATACCCAAATGAATAAGATTTTAATCAATAGAATGACAAAAAGAGGGATGAGAACCTAATTTCTTCTTTTTTTTTATCTTGGACAGATAATATATATATATATATATATATATATATTGTATTTGTAATAATTAAAGATCCATATATTGCATAAGCTTGACTGTTTCTTGTATATGTGGATATTAAACAAAACACAAGCTTTAGACTTTTGAAGGGAGTTTTGTTGTTATTAACCCATCAAACCCCTTTTGCATTTTGGTATATTCAAGTCAACTTGTGGGACATATATAGCTCTAACTTTAGAAGCGAATGCATGGAAGTTTCAAAGACTTTGAGCTCACCCTTTCGAATAAATATATATACACATATATAGAACAAATTCAACACAGACCAATAGAATTAACACAACAATGCAAATTAATATACTCTAACAACTCATCATATCCATCCAAAACACTTCCATCAAACCAACTAATTAAATGCCAATTAGCTAGCTCCCTCTAATTAATCACCATCACAATTTATGTATGAATAGATAGAGAGGGATGTTATTTAAAAACACATTAATTAATACGCGCTAATACAAGCAAAATTTATATACAACAAAAAAATTCACCCATATTAAAACACGTATTAACAAATGCCGCCAATTAAAAGCTTGCGAGTTAAGCAACGTTACCCATATTAGTTGGAGGTACGACGGTTCTATATAATGACATAAATGCTGGCGACTATATGTGAAAGTCAATCTCACTTTGTAAATTAACTATGATTTCAAGTGAAACTGACTGATATATTGTATATAAACAATAAATTATGTGTGAGTTTCCATGAAAATTAGGTTTGATATATATAACATATAGTTCTTATAACTAATTACTTAATTATAATGGAAGAGTGCAAGAAAAGATTGCACCGTGTTCCTTGATTAATTTAACCAATTGTTCAATATTTAAGATCGAAACATCACTATGACTACAAGTCTACAAGTAATCTTTTTTAAATATAATTAATACTTAATTTGTACAAAAACAACAATGTTGGAAAATTATGTTACGCGTATATAGGGCTTGTTTAAATTATGATGAAGTCAAAGACTTATATTTGCTTGAAAAAAGAGGATAATAGGTGACAAGTCACGGTTATCTACCATTTTCGGGTCCAGAGAGGCTATGAAGAATTTCACCCTGCTCGTGGCCACAGTCAAATAAACTCACCAGCTAAGAGCATCGAACCAGGGACCCCCACAATTTTTTTGTCTATTGGGGAGCCGCAATCCGTGCTCTTACCACTGGGTCACTTGTTGTGATTAAGAAGTCAAAAATTTAGAGTAACGCTAAATCAACATGAAAAAATAAAATAGTAAATATTAATCGAAACAATTTTTAGACTTTTTTATTCTAATTGATGTCATACTGTTTTATTTGTTTATGTATATGTAACTTCATCGTGATCTTCATTTTAGTCTATTTAGAACGAGTAATATGTTGTTTTATTTTGTCATTTGTATGGAGTTTGGGGCACATACAAGATTTGCCTACATGGTTAAGTATCAAAATTAGTATTTGTATATGAACTCTTACAATTTCTTAGAAAGAGGGAAGAAGGAAGAGAAAATAGATATACTAAATTGTTTAATATTTAATCACAAGAATAAAGTCTAAAAACCAAAACAACAAACAAACAAATACATAAATTAAAGTTTTTTGGGTAGAACAAAAATAGTTTTAGTTTAGAAGAAAATGAAAATGCTTACAAATTTCGGTTCTTTTCCCAGTAAACCCCCCATGATCACGTGCTTGGAAAATGGACACTCCCTCTCTCCTCTGTGTAAACTCTCTCTCTCTCTCTCTCTCTCTCTCTCTCTCTCTCACTCACCTGTTCCTATATATTATTCATCAATGGAGGGTAGAGTTTGAAAAGCACAAGAGCTTTGTAAGGAAGAAAGAGAGAAACTAACTCCTTTTTAATCCAAACGAATCCTCTCAAACCAAACCAATCAAACCCTCTCACTCACCATTCAAATTCCAAACCTTCACTTCTATTTTTACTCAAAAATCTGTTTCTGCTCCTTCGTTGGCTCGCAAAATCCTCCTTCTAAGGTAACAATGCCCGGCTTTTAATTTCTTGGATGAAAGTTGGGATTTTTATGCTGTTTTGATGAAATGGGTTTTCTGGGTTTGCTCTTGGTTTCATGGAAATGTGCTTGTTTTTTTCATTGATTTTGTGACCTTTTCCGTTGTATACTCAATATTCTTGTAGTTTTTGTAGATCTAATCTCATGGTGGGTTTGTCTGATAGGTTCTTGTTCATGTTGGGATAATTTAACTGCATGCTTACACGGATAACAGCTCGATTTACGTTCATTAATGCTTTTATGCTGTATAATGGGTCGTCTGATATGAAACTAAAGCTCGTTCTTTTTGTTCTCTCAGGAGTCTGAATTGTCTGGGTTGCTAAAACCGAATGGGAATTTCCTTTTCTTGCCCATTTTCGCAGTACAGTGATTTGGAAAGTGGGTTGGATTCGATCATTGTGAAGTCCATAAGCTTTGGAGACAATGAAGTTAAAACTCCGGTCAGATCAGTTAGTTTCAATGGTGGTGATGCAGAACCCACAATAATGAAATCCTTAGGTTCCGGAAGGATGACACTTGAAACTTCTGTTAGCTTTAAAGGTAGAGAGTTGGAGAAAATGATGTTGCTCAAGGTTCCTTCGTTAGAAAAGAGCATGACCGTTGCATCAGTCAGCCCTCTCAGCAAAGAAATGAACGTTCCCTCCCCAAGATCAGATAGTCCTCTGGGAATGATCAGGCCCTTGCAACTTTTGGATCCCACCAGCCCCAAACACATGGCAGCAATTAAGTTGCAGAAAGTATACAAAAGTTTCCGAACCAGACGAAAGCTAGCAGATTGTGCAGTTCTTGTTGAACAGAGCTGGTATGCTTTTCATTATCATGCTCTAATCTTTCCATTTATGTAAAAAAAAATTAATGTGATTTTATCTCATTAATTTTAAATTCTTTGAAATAATGTAGGTGGAAGCTGTTAGATTTCGCTGAGCTCAAGCGGAGTTCTATATCATTCTTTGAAATTGAGAAACATGAAACTGCCATGTCGCGTTGGTCTAGAGCAAGGACCAGAGCCGCCAAGGTAAGACCAGATTGTATACTTACACTTCAAGTTTCTCATAATCTTTTCAGAAAAACTAAGTATTTCTTTGTCACTGCAGGTTGGAAAAGGTCTATCAAAGAATGAAAAGGCACAAAAGCTTGCCTTGCAGCATTGGCTCGAGGCGGTAAGTTGATTGCATTTGACTGTCAATTTTGTTCTTCTTCTATCTGTTATGACTCGAGCCATTACTGATCTCGATTCTTTGTTATTGATTAACAACAGATTGATCCAAGGCATCGGTATGGACATAACCTACACTTTTACTACGTTGAATGGCTTCACTGTCAGAGTAGAGAACCGTTCTTCTACTGGCTAGACATAGGAGAAGGGAAGGAAGTAAATCTTGTTGAAAAATGCGCTCGATCGAAACTTCAACAGCAGTGTATCAAGTACCTTGGACCGGTGAGCTTTATGTCCTTAATCCTTATTGATAATCCTTTAATCTGTTTCTTCTCCCATTTTGTTTACTGATTTTTGTTCTGCTCAATGTAGATGGAAAGAATGGCCTATGAAGTTGTTGTGGAGGATGGAAAATTCTTCTACAAACAATCAGGGGAGCTTCTCCATACAACCGGAGAATCCGATGATACCAAATGGATTTTCGTTCTTAGTGCTTCTAGAACCTTATACGTTGGCAAGAAAAAGAAGGGGACGTTTCAACATTCAAGTTTTTTGGCTGGAGGAGCCACATCTGCTGCCGGGAGATTAGTTGTTGAAAACGGCATCCTTAAGGTATGGCTAGAATACGTACTACTCATAAGATCTTCCTTCTCTTTGCGTACATACCATCGTTTCGACGGCTATCTTTAGATGTTTTGATTGCTTCTAACGTTGATTTATTGTGAATTTCTACAGGCAGTTTGGCCTCACAGTGGTCACTATCGGCCTACAGAAGAAAATTTCAGAGACTTCGTCTCATTCCTTCAAGAGAACAATGTCGATCTCAAAGATGTTAAGGTATAAATTAAGAAAAATAAAATTTTATGTTCTGATTTAATAGGTTTCAAGAGAAAACTAGCGGAATATTTATCCTAAAAAGCTCGCTTTTCTGTATTTTCAGTTAAGTCCGGTTGATGAGGTAGAGGAGGGTTCACTTAGCAAGAAAAGAAGCAGTGCTCATATTAGATGCAACTCATCTGAAGAGGGCTTGATCCCAAATGTATGTGATTTAAAGGCTGAAGAGACCATTGAAGAAGACTTGATTCCGGAGGAGAATGATTCAATAGAACAAGCTGCTGCAGTCGAATCTCATATGTCAAGCCGTCTCCGCTGTGTTAGCAGAAAATTGTCTAATCTTGCAATACCAAACAGGGAAAGGTATTTCGAGAAGGTAGAGAGCGCAACTGAACCCGCTGGTTCAAGTTGCAGCGGTATTCCAGTGGAAACTCCAGTTGATGGTTATGAAACGGTGGATGAAACTCTCCCATCAGAGCAGGATTACATGGTTTCGAAGAAGAACTTGTTCGACGAAAACAATGATGAGACCGAGGGAGAAGCCATTCCTCAAGAATCAATTCTCAAAAGGATTAACTCACACAAAGGAATGAAATCATTCCAACTGGGAAGGCAGTTGTCTTGCAAATGGACAACGGGAGCTGGACCTCGCATTGGCTGTGTGAGGGACTATCCCTCGGAGCTCCAGTTCCGAGCTTTGGAGCATGTGAACTTGTCTCCAAGAAGTGCTGCCCATTCGAGGTCATACTTCTCTCCTCGGACCACCAGAGCGCTGAGTCCAAGGGTGTTGACACCGGCAAAATGTGGCGGGGAGATGGAAGCACGCATAAGCTCCCCAGCACTTGAAAGAGTGAAGCTTTCTGTAAAAAGCATTAACCTTTCTAGAACTCGGTCATCCCAACTATCTACAGGAAGTACAGCAACCGCCATTGCTAATGTCTCGTGACTGAAAAATATAGATTCATATATTAATTTATTCTTTTGTGAATAAAAAAGATGACAAAGCAATTCTTTATCATTCTTTTCCTACACAAATCATGTATAAATTTATTTTTCATTAGTTCATCTTGTACAAAAGGAGATGACAAATCCTAGAATTTTGGTGGGTTTGACGCCCTTTTAATACAAATGATTCAAAATTTTCTTTATTAGATGTGTTTGACACTAATCATGAAATGTGTTGATGTTCTTGTTCAAGGCTCATTTAGATCTCAGAGGTTTTTATTTTTTACAATGATAACGTTAGTGAATTAAATAGTTAAATGTTAGAGGGGTGGAAATCGGTGAGGATTAAACTCTTATCAAAATGCATAGACATTATTATTTTGCACCACTACGGTAAACATTTTGTGTTCTATTTTTACTCTGAATAAAGCCCATTGCTTAACTCCTTTGTGCAAACCATTCTCACCAAGAACTCACGTACACTCGTGTCACTGTACGATATTTTGAACAAGTAACACATTATCACGTGTTAAAAATTGCCCGTGATACAACAATAACAACAACAACAAAGCTTTTTCCTATGAAGTGAGATCAGCTATATGAATTCTAGAACATCATTACGCTTGATTCTGTGTCATGTCCTCCGTTAGATCTAAGTACTCTAAGTCTTTTCTTAGAGTCTCTTCCAAAGTATTCCTAGGTCTTCATCTACCCTTTTGGCCCTAGACCTATGTCCCGTAGTCGCATTTTCTAACCGGATCGTCAGTAGGTCTTCGTTGCACATGTCTAAACCACAGTAATCGATTTTCTCTTATCTTTCCTTCAATTTCGGTTACTCCTATTTTACCTCGGATATCCTCATTCCTAATCTTATCATTTCTCGTGTGCCCACACATCCAACGAAATATCCTCATCTCCGCTACACCCATTTTATGTACGTGTTGATGCTTCACCGCTCAACATTTTGTGATAGTCTGTTAAAATTACATAATGAAATATTTACACACATATGAAACTGTAATTTGTCATTCGTGACATAGAGTCAATTATTTTCGGAAGAGTAAACTGCCGATTTGCCCCCTGAACTATCACCTAACTTTCGATTTCCCCCTGAACTTTTTAATTGGAAAATTAAAGACTTAAACTAATTTTTTTGGCCGATTTGCCCCCTGCTGTTAATTTTGCCCCTGTTGTTAATTTTGCATTCATTCCATCCAAATTTCTGTTAAATAGAAGCATGTGCACAACATGTGTGGGTAGTTCGGTCGCTTCATTCTTTAAAATAATTGAAAACCTTATATTTCTATAATATAAACCTATGCAAATATGTGTGATTCTATATCTTTTGTGTTTGAATGTATAGTGAAGTAACGTTTTTGTTCACAAATGAGAGTTATGTGGTTTGCACATGATAAAAGTTAACGTTAATTTGGATGAAATCTATTAAAAACTAACGGTAGAGATGAAATCAGCCAAAAAAATTAGTTTAAATCCTTAATTTTCCAATTAAAAAAATTAGGAGAAAAATCGAAAGTTGGGTGATAGATCAGAGGTCAAATTGGCAATTTACTATTTTCGGAAAAACAGAAAACGCACACTCTAAACTTTATGCGGTTGGGCATGCATTGAATAGCAAACCAAAACATTATGACCAGTTAAGTCTTGAACCACTTGTCATGTTATCTACTACAGTAGACAAAATTCTCATCCCAAATCTGAACCTCAAGTTTCTTTTTACCGCATGCCAAGTTCAAAGCTTTACACTTTTGAGCCTCCAAGTTCTTACCTTCTTGAGCTCCACACGTGGCAGCAGCCATGGAAGCTCTGAGAATTTCATCTCTTCCCTCACCGCAATTTCCTACCAAATTTGACGAATCCCAACCCAAAAAACTTACCATCTCAGGATTTAACCCATACCCCACTTCGTCTTTTTCACCGTTGAAAGGAACCGCGTCATCAGCGTTCAAGACTTTCACCGCCGTACAATCCTCTGTTTCGACCGAGCCTGCAAACCCACCCGACCCATCACTCGAAAACCCGACCCAGGAGGAGAAATTCGACTGGTACGCCCAATGGTATCCGTTGATGCCGGTTTGCGATCTCGATAAGAGGGTCCCGCATGGAAAGAAGGTTTTGGGGATAGACGTGGTGGTGTGGTGGGACCGGAACGAGAGTGCTTGGAAGGTGTTCGATGATGCTTGTCCCCACAGGTTGGCGCCGTTGTCGGAAGGGAGGATTGATCAGTGGGGCAGGTTGCAGTGCGTCTATCACGGTTGGTGTTTTAATGGCTCCGGTGACTGCAAGTTCATCCCTCAAGCACCAACTGATGGCCCTCCGGTAAATAATCCTTGACTGAAAACCTTCATGCAAGAAAGATATAGATATACGTACAGCTAGTTATTATGGTAAACCTTCGTACAAGTTAATTAGATAGATTGCTAGAGATGTCAAATAATACCATAGTTTTGCATAAAAAGTATGATTTTCCACTTTGATTGCTGTAGTTTCAGTGGTTGTGATTTGACGTCTTTGTGCTGTAGTTTATTAATTGTTGCAGTTCAAGGACGATGGCTTAATTATGTTGGATTTTCAACGGAATTGATGCTAGCTTTTTACACCTCCAAAAAGTCTAATTTTTCCTTTATATATGACGATTGTATGCTAATTATGTCGAAAAAATGACACAATTAAGTCATTGGCCTTCAATTGCAACAATTACACCACTCTTGGTGCCTAGAACGGGAAGGGATAACTTCCTTCGTGATTAATCCATCTAATTCCTAGACTATGACAAAAGTTGGAAGTTGGGGTTCATTTCTTATTTCAGCATTCATAGAATCTAGTGAGTTATCACCCAATCCTAGACACGAACTGTGGCCTTCGTAAACTATAGGGATTAAATCACGTCAATTGAAATATAGGGACCAATTTTAATGAACTTTAAACATTATTTATAGTAATAGTATTCCAAGTTTGAATCGAAACTCCTCTCTTGTTGTTCTTGCAGAAGTGGTTCTGTGGCAATAAACTATATGCTGTGCATGGTTTGTAGTTTAAATAAGATGATAGGGATGACACTTTCAACTTGCAGATTCACACGAATAAGAAAGCATGTGTAGCCGCTTATCCAACAACTGTGCAGAATGGCATTGTGTGGTTTTGGCCAAATTCCGATCCTCAATACAAAGATGTTCTTGCAGAGAAAAAACCTCCCTACATACCTGAACTAGATGATCCATCGTATAGTGGTCCAATGGGAAACAGAGAGATTCCTTACGGGTATGTAAAGATACTTTTTTTTCCTACCAGTTCTGATATGAAACTATTTTTCTACTGAGGCATAATGCTTCTTTATAAGAAACCTTGTGAATCTGCATCCAGGTCTTATTTTGTCTTTCATGTTCAAGAACTTTTAGGTGTATCAATCTGAAATATTGAATTTTCATTTTTCAGTTTTCCTCTTAATAACTTCGCTTAATATCCTTATTGCAATTCCAGGTACGAGGTCTTGATTGAAAATCTTATGGACCCTGCTCATGTTCCATATGCGCATTATGGAATAATGCAAATGAGACAACCCAAAGGCAAATACTAGTTTATGCATCACTTTCATGAAGTTAATTTCACTTTGTATAGGAGGTTCAGGATGATTTAAAGTTCATTTCTTTACAGAGAAAGCTGATAGAGAAGGGGGTAGACCATTGGATTTGAGAGTTGAGAAGTTAGACATAAATGGTTTCATCGCAAAGCAGGAATGGGGTTGGAGTAAATTTTTGCCACCATGTGTATTCTACGGTACTCCACTTGATCCACTTGAGCAGGGTAATGGGGCTGCATCATCAGCTGAAACCAAAAAGGTAGAACATTCTGTTTTTGTTCAAATCCTTTATCTTTAAATCCTTTTGTACATCTCTTTATGTGTATGGTGATTTGTGTAGGTGTCATCAGCCCAGCGGAGAAGTCTTCTAATTTTTATTTGTATCCCAGTTAGTCCGGGTAATAGCAGGTTGATATCGACCTTCCCAAGAAACTTCGGCATTTGGATTGATAAGATTGTTCCGCGGTGGATGTTTCATATTGGACAAAATCTGGTTCTGGACTCCGATATATATCTTCTTCATGTTGAGGTGACTTTTAACTCTTGATAGTAGGTTTAGAAATCTTCTCAAAAAAAATAGTAGGTTTAGAAATTATCTTGCTTTTCACTTGCTGAATGTGTAAGACTTGGTTGAGGCTTTTCTTCTGAACAATAAGAAAAACATTCTATTGAGTTAAAGTGTGCAGCTGCATGACCACAGAATACGAGTCTTTGGTGAATCTCTTATCGCACTTATTCTTGCCTGAGTCTTGAGTTCTTCGTACAGGAACGTAAGATAATGGAAGCTGGCCCTGCCCAGTGGCAAAAAGCATGTTTTGTGCCAACAAAGTCAGATGCCCTTGTGGTTGGTTTCAGAAAATGGTTAAACAAGTACGCTGGCGGTCAGGTAGATTGGAGAGGCAAGTTCAGTGGGGCTCTTCCCCCCACTCCTCCTAGAGAACAGTTGCTGGACAGGTAACTTTCACATAGTTATGAAGCAGGATTCAAACAACAAATTGATTACTTAGTTTCAGAAAATTAGAACAGTTTATATGGGAAATTCTGATGGCATCAAAGTAGATCATAGCGGTCTCGAAAATATGCTAAAATTTGGTGTTCCTGCAACTTTTACAAACCTGATCTGTTATAACACACCTTCAAGCATCTCTCAGTTTGTTCTTCGAGTCTTCAGGCCAGCAAAAGATATAGAAATTTCCAGCACACATTCGAAAAATTTGGGTTTATTAGTTGAAATGCAAGCATTTGCTTTGCCAGGTTGTGTCATGGCCATAAGAACTAAGTTGGAGAGTGTTAAAACTTAAAAGTCCTCTTATTGTTGAATCATCATCGACGGGTGTTTGCACAACCTTTTCAGGTACTGGTCCCATGTGGTAAACTGCAGCAGTTGCAGTGCCGGATACAAAGGTCTGAAAGTGCTCGAAGTTGTATTGCAGTTTGCCGCTTTTGCTGTAGTGGGAATTGTTGCTGCAACCAAGCAGGCTGCCATATCAGTGGCTGCAAGAACTACGCTCGTTGCAGCAGCTATACTATCATTTGCAGCTTCAAAATGGTTGGCATACTTTATCTACAAACAGTTTCACTTTCATGACTACAACCATGCTTTCCGGTGATCTGGTTAATCTTCGCTCACCGTGCGTTTAGCTTAATACAACAATAAACACCGCGCGGGGTAATGTAATTACGAAGCATACGTGATCCGAATGCATGTAAACTAAACACTGTTGAGCATGAGTTTGTACGCCATACAAAGAGTATCATGCTAATGTCAATGTTGTCTATTGGATAATGTGGATCATCTCTCAGTTTGGTAAATGGTTGCATTCCGTATCGTTCGTTGCATAGAGTTAGTTATTTTCCTAAAATCATCACCTAAAAAATAAAAGAAAAAGGGAAAAACAGAAAAGGAACAAAACATTATGTGGTTGGGCATGCATTGAATAGCAAACTAAAACATTATGACCAGTTAAGCCTTGAACCACTTGTCATGTTATCCACTTCTGTCGACAAAATTCTCATCCCAAATCTGCACCTCAAGTTTCTTTTTACTGCATGCCACGTTCAAAGCTTTACACTTTTGAGCCTCCAAGTTCTTACCTCGTTGAGCTCCATTCGTGGCACCAGCCATGGAAGCTCTGAGAATTTCATCTCTTCCCTCACTGCAATTTCCCACCAAATTTGACAAATCCCAACCCAAAAAATTTACTATCTCAGGATTTAACCCGCACCCCACTTCATCTTTTTCACCGTTTCAAGGGACCGCATCATCAGCATTCAAGACTTTCACCGCCGTACAATCCTCTGTTTCGACCGAGCCTGCAAACCCACCGGACCCATCACTCGAAAACCCGACCCAGGAGGAGAAATTCGACTGGTACGCCCAATGGTATCCGTTGATGCCGGTTTGCGATCTCGATAAGAGGGTCCCGCATGGAAAGACGGTTTTGGGGATAGACGTGGTGGTGTGGTGGGACCGGAACGAGAGTGCTTGGAAGGTGTTCGATGATGCTTGTCCGCACAGGTTGGCGCCGTTGTCGGAAGGGAGGATTGATCAGTGGGGCAGGTTGCAGTGCGTCTATCACGGTTGGTGTTTTAATGGCTCCGGCGACTGCAAGTTCATCCCTCAAGCACCAACTGATGGCCCTCCGGTAAATAATCCTTGACTGAAAACCTTCATGCAAGTAAGATATAGATATACGTACAGCTAGTTATTATGGTAAACCTTCGTACAAATTAATTAGATAGACTGCTAGAGATGTCAAATAATACCATAGATTTGCATGAAAAAGTATGATTTTGGTCACTGTAGTTTCTGCGAATTTTCCACTTTGATTCCTGTAGTTTCAGTTGTTATGATTTGACGTCCTTGTGTTGTTGTAGTTTACTAATTGTTGCAGTTCAAGGACGATGGCTTAATTATGTTAGATTTTCAACGGAATTAGTGCGTGAAAGCATGCAGTAATGCTAGCGTTTTACATCTCCAAAAAGTCTAATTTTTCCTTTTTATATGACGATTGTATACTAATTATGTTGAAAAAATGACACAATTAAAGTCATTGGCCTTCAATTGCAACAGTTACACCACTCTTGGTGCCTAGAACGGGAAGGGATAATTTCCTTCGTGATTAATCCATCTAATTCCTCGACTATGACAAAACTTGGAAGTTGGGGTTCCTTTCTTATTTCAGCATTCATAGAATCTAGTGAGTTATCATCCAATCCTAGACACGAACTGTGGCCTTCGTAAGCTGTAGGGATTAAATCATGTCAATTGAAACTATAGGGACCAATTTTAATGAACTTTAAACATTAGTTATAGTAATAGTATTCCAAGTTTGAATCGAAACTCTTTTCTTGTTGTTCCTGCAGAAGTGGTTCTATGGCAATAAACTATATGCTGTGCATGGTTTGTAGTTTAAATAAGATGATAGGGATGACACTTTCAACTTGCAGATTCACACGAATAAGAAAGCATGTGTAGCCGCTTATCCAACAACCGTGCAGAATGGCATTGTGTGGTTTTGGCCAAATTCCGATCCTCAATACAAAGATGTTCTTGCAGAGAAAAAACCTCCCTACATACCTGAACTAGATGATCCTTCGTATAGTGGTCCAATGGGAAACAGAGAGATTCCTTACGGGTATGTAAAGATACTTTTTTTCTACCAGCTCTGATATGAAACTATTTTTCTACTGAGGCATAATGCTCCTTTATAAGCAACCTTGTGAATCTGCATCCAGGTCTTATTTCGTCTTTCATGTTCAAGAACTTTTAGGTGTATCGATCTGAAATATTGAATTTTCATTTTTCAGCTTTTCCTCTTAATAACTTTGTTTAATATCTTTGTTGCAATTCCAGGTACGAGGTCTTGATTGAAAATCTTATGGACCCTGCTCATGTTCCATATGCGCATTATGGAATAATGCAAACGAGACAACCCAAAGGCAAATACCAGTTTATGCATCACTTTCATGAAGTTAATTTCACTTTGTATAGGAGGTTCAGGGTGATTTACAGTTCATTTCTTTACAGAGAAAGCTGATAGAGAAGGGGGTAGACCATTGGATTTGAGGGTTGAGAAGTTAGACATAAATGGTTTCATCGCAAAGCAGGAATGGGGTCGGAGTAAATTTTTGCCACCATGTGTGTTCTACGCTTCTCCACTTGATCCGCTTGAGCAGGGTAATGGGGCCGCATCATCAGCTGAAACCAAAAAGGTAGAACATTCTGTTTCTGTTCAAATCCTTTATCTTTTTATCCTTTTGTACATCTCTTTATGTGTATGGTGATTTGTGTAGGTGTCATCAGCCCAGCGGAGACTTCTTCTAATTTTTATTTGTATCCCAGTTAGTCCGGGTAATAGCAGGTTGATATGGACCTTCCCAAGAAACTTCGGCATTTGGATTGATAAGATTGTTCCGAGGTGGATGTTTCATATTGGACAAAATCTGATTCTGGACTCCGATTTATATCTTCTTCATGTTGAGGTGACTTTTAACTCTTGATAGTAGATTTAGAAATTATCTTGCTTTTCACTTGCTGAATGTGTTAGACGTTACTTTTTCGGTTGAGGCTTTTCTTCTGAACAATAAGAAAAACATTCTATTGAGTTAAAGTGTGCAGATGCATGAACACGGAATAAGAGTCTTTGGTGAATCTCTTATCGTACTTATTCTTACCTGAGTCTTGAGTTCTTCATACAGGAACGTAAGATAATGGAAGCAGGCCCTGCCCAGTGGCAAAAAGCATGTTTTGTGCCAACAAAGTCAGATGCCCTTGTGGTTGGTTTCAGAAAATGGTTAAACAAGTACGCTGGCGGTCAGGTAGATTGGAGAGGCAAGTTCTGTGGGGCTCTTCCCCCCACTCCTCCTAGAGAACAGTTGCTGGACAGGTAACTTTCACATATTAATGAAGCAGGATTCAAACAACAATTTGATTACTTAGTTTCAGAAAATTAGAACGGTTTTTATGGGAAATTCTGATGGCATCAAAGTAGATCATAGCGGTCTTGAAAATATGCTAAAATTTGGTGGTCCTGCAACTTTTAGAAACCAGATCTGTTATAACACACCTTCAAGCATCTCTTAGTTTGTTCTTCAAATCTTGAGGCCAGCAAAAGATAGAAATTTCCAGCACACATTCGAAAATTTTGGGTTTATTAGTTGAAATGCAAGCATTTTCCTTGCCAGGTTGTGTCATGGCCATAAGAAGTTAAGAACTAAGTTGGAGAGTGTTAAAACTTAAAAATCCTCTTATTGTTGAATCATCATCGACGGGTGTTTGCACCACCTTTCAGGTACTGGTCCCATGTGGTAAACTGCAGCAGTTGCAGTGCCGGATACAAAGGTCTGAAAGTGCTCGAAGTTGTATTGCAGTTTGCCGCTTTTGCTTTAGTGGGAATTGTTGCTGCAACCAAGCAAGCTGCCATATCTGTGGCTGCAAGAACTACGCTCGTTGCAGCGGCTATACTATCATTTGCAGCTTCAAAATGGTTGGCTTACTTTATCTACAAACAGTTTCACTTTCATGACTACAACCATGCTTTCCGGTGATCTGGTTAATCTTCGCTCACCGCGCATTTAGCTTAATACAACACTAAACACCGCGCGGGGTAATGTAATTATGATACTACGTGATCCGAATGCATGTAAACTTAAACACTGTTGAGCATGAGTTTGTACACTGTACAAAGAGTATCATGCTAATGTCAATGTTGTCTATTGGGTAATGTGATTGGGTAATGTGGATCATCTCTCAGATTGATAAATGGTTGCATTCCGTTTCGGGAGAACGTCTCGTTTCATATACCCCGAATCTCAATCGCCATTTCCGGTGGAAGATCTTGGATAGTCAAGTGATGTTTAGTAGTCGAACATTCAACTTTAACCAACACTTTCGAACAAAATCTTGCACGATTTTACGAGGTCTTGTTTAGGCCCAAACAAAAAGTATGGTCTAAATTTTAGGCCCTCTCAAATCCATGTATCCAAAAGGGCCCTAACAAAAGTACTTGTCCTACTAGACGACCGACGCGGGCAAATGCAAGCAGTGCAAAGTGGAACATTCACAAAGTCAAGCAAACTAATGTCATCTCCAACCGAAGGGTCTAGAGGGTCAAAAATAACTCGAAAATCTTCTCTAACAGTGGGTCAAGCCAAAGGGCTGGTGGGTCCCAATAAATAAAAAAAGGTCAAATGACCAACCGACTGACCATCTTTAATCAGCTAGCCAGCCCAATAAATAAAAAAAGGTCAAATGACCAACCGACTGACCATCTTTAATCAGCTAGCCAGCGGGCTGGCTAGCCCAATTTCATTTGTTTTTTTGTTCTTTTCCATTTGTCTAGATTACTTTAGGGTTTAGGGCTCAGGTCTTTTTTTTGTCCTAGCCCATTATTTGTTTTTTATACCCAGCCCACTTTTCTGTTTTTTTTTTAATTTGTAATTTTTTTTTCTTACACAATTTCTCACATATTTTTCATCATTTCATACTATCTTACCTCATTTTATTTCAATTCTTCACATTCCATATTATAGCCCTTTGTTCCTTGGTTGGAAACGGTTTTTTGTGACAGGTTTAAAATGAGCTATATGGCTCTAGATTGAAGATGATAAAAAATATAATCCTAAGCTGTTCGTTAAAATATTAATATATTAATTTCTGGAAAAATTGCTTAACCGACAGCTCCCTCGCTGTCGCTTGCAACTGAAGCTCCCCAAGTCCAACGCACTCCTTTACTTCCTCACTCCAAATCTGTCACGCGCGACATTAACAGCCAACCCACCGTCCTCAAAACAAATGTAAACAAAAAAACCAGTGAAGTAAAACTAAAGTAACACACTTTGGTGTCTCTCGCTGCAGATCTCCATTAATCAACTGTAAGTAAATCCCCAGCTCCAAATCTCTGCTTTCTTTCCCCATTCATTTTCTTCCACTTTCTCTAAAAACCCATCATTTTTTTTCATGCATTCATAAGATCCGATCGGTTTTCCCACCTGGGTTTTCTCGATAACCCATGAAAGAATCGAATCCGGCCACCGAGCCCATCGGGCAAAACATCATCAAACTCATCAGCAACCTCTGTTTCTCAGTTTTTGTCTTTTCGGTGCTTATAATCACTGTAATTGCCATCACCTACCAACCCCCAGATCCGTGGCTGGAGTCAGCTCCGGCCTTAACAAAACTCTTCACCGATTCCGAGAACGCCACTTTCAAAGATGACAACTCTGTCCTCACAACCGGCGAGGATTTACCTCTTGCCCCCGCCGTAGCCCCGGTTTCTTCGGGTTTTGCAGTCATTACGGAGTCTGTGATTGCGAAAGCCGAAGCCGAGGTCTCTAATTCGACCAATTCGACCCTGTCGGACGGGTTGAATTGTGAGGATTTGGAGAGAGTGAATTGCTCGGACCCACGGGCTTTGATTGCGGTGGAGAGATTTAATTTGAGGATATTTAAGAACATCGTGTTCTTGGAGTATCAGACGCCGGTTAATGGGTCGAAGGCGGATGAATGTGATGTGTTGTGGAAGTTTAGGAACAAAAAGGAGAAGTCTTGGAGGAAGTATAGGGATTTTAGGAGGTTTAAGCTCGGATTCGGAGTGAATTGTACTTATAAGGTGGTGCACGCCGGAAGGTGGCATTCGGGTATTAATGCGAGGAGAGCGAGGAGGATTAGTAGTAATGGCACCAGGGGTGGTGGGAAGGCTAGAAGCACCCCACCAGTTCGTGATGAACAGATCAATGATACGATCCCTAGCCTGGGATCGGATAAGAATTTTAGGAGGGGGAGGTACTTGTACTATTCGCGCGGAGGGGATTATTGCAAGGGGATGAATCAGTTCCAATGGAGTTTCTTGTGTGGTTTAGGTGAGGCTATGTATTTGAACAGGACATTTGTGATGGATTTGAGTGTCTGCTTGGCAGGGAGTTATACTCTGAGTAATAAAGATGAGGAAGGGAAAGATTTTCGGTATTACTTTGATTATGAACATCTCAAGGAAACTGCCTCAATTGTGGATGAGGATGAATTTCTGCGGGATTGGAAGAAGTGGGATCAGAGCCATAAGAGGAAAGTGCCCATTAAGAAGGTTGCGAGCCATAAGGTGACGCCAATGCAGCTCAAGAAAGAGAGGAGCACTATTATATCGAGGCAGTTTGATGGGCCGGAGCCAGAAAATTACTGGTACAGGGTGTGTGAAGGACAGGCTGCTAAGTACGTTCAGAGGCCGTGGCATGCCTTGTGGAAATCGAAGAGATTGATGAATATTGTTACGGAGATCAGCGGGCGGATGGACTGGGATTTTGATGCTGTTCATGTTGTGCGAGGAGAGAAGGCGCAGAATAAGCAGCTTTGGCCTCACCTTGATTATGATACGTCCCCAGAGATGCTTCTTAACAAGGTCAAGACGATGGTGCAGCCTTGGAGGAATCTGTATATAGCCACTAACGAACGGTTCTACAATTACTTCGATAAACTGAGGTCTCAGTACAAGGTTCATTTGCTTGATGACTACAAAGAACTTTGGAGTAACACGAGTGAGTGGTACAATGAGACTTGCAATTTAAACAACGGACGACCAGTTGAGTTCGATGGATACATGAGGGTTGAAGTCGATACCGAGGTTCTTTACAGGGCAAAGACGCGTGTGGAAACATTCTATAATTTGACGGCAGATTGCAAGGACGGAATCAACACATGCTGACCAGGTTGGAGAAAAATCTAGTTCCCTATTCCATATTTTGATTCGCTTTTCGAATGATACAGTTGAATTCGTGTGAGGCTTATAGCTGTTATTTGCTTGTTCTTCTATTATATTGGATGTTGGCATTTCTTATTCATCACAGCAAAGTCTATATATGTTGTATTATAGATTCAACTCATTTTGTCTTTCACATCAATTTTAGCTCTTACAAGTTGTAGTCAATTCCATTGAACAAAAAACTGAATTGAAAAGTGGAGTCGAAGGTTTAAAACTTTAGATCGATGCAACACATTTAGATTTTCATTTCAACCTGCAGATTCTGAAACTTTTTTCATCGGTTTAACTCCGAAATTCCTCATGTAGCTTTAAATGCTATACTTTTTCTTCAATGCCATATCGTTACTTAAAGCCATCGTTGGCGTCCATAGTTTTACAGAATGCTTAAACAGGTTGTAGTGTTATGCCTACGGGAATGAAGAATTATGATTTAAGAAGCACATTTGTTACTGCATATGAAAGGAAATACTATATATATATCAGTTACATCCCAATCTTAAGAGGAATATTAGATTTCAGAATATCAAATATAACTAAATTCAACCCTTGCTTTTTTTCTAAACCAGTTCATTTGTAAAGTCAGTCATAGATCATTTGCATGGTTTTCTCCGACTTTCCAGTTTTGGGCTGGAGCCACTTGATTATGCAAAGGTATGTATTCCTGCAGAAATAAATAAAAACATGAACCGCTTTTAAGGCGAAAGGCGATGTAAACAAGCTATGTTTTTAACTTCATTTTCCCATCAAAGGTGTTTACACATTGAAGTAGTTTTGGGGTGGGAATGCTTTTGTAAGGGCTAAAAGTGCTTACAAATAACCAAAAAAGCTGTTTTTTTGGTGGTGTACAAGGAAACACCAAGAAGGAAGGAAGCACTTCCGATATTATTTATTAAATATTTGTTGAGCTTTTATGAGAAGCGTTTATGAGCAGAAGTATTTTCTACAAAAGCAAACTAAAACGGGAATTTGATATGGAACAGTATGAAAGCAGAGAGTGATGTCAGTACCTCCATCTTCTGTATCAGCTCTGTGGCAGTTTTTGCAGATATGACAATATTCCTAGCAGATAAAGTGATAAATCCCTCTTCCACACCTTTATCAAACAGACGAAGCAAGCAATCATAATACCCATCAATGTTCAAAAGACCCACCTGATTTGCAGACAAAAAAATGTAAATGTCTTTTTTTTAGAAAATTGGTTCATATGTTAAGTTCAAAGTTACAAACTCAAAAATGACATAAAGTTGGTGGATTATTATGATTTAAAAAGGTGAAATGTCCTTTTCCTAACGCTTTTTTTCTTCAACTTTTGTCCCATAATTTTTACAAGAATATACGAGTGTGAAACGGTTGTTGTGACAAAGGGCATGCTTCTAACGATTTGTCAAGGGAAAGAGTAAGCCTCAATCATATTATATATGGGTTTAAAAATGGTTACCAAGTCTTATCATGGCCATCCGTATCACATATCCTTATTGCTATCAAGCTAAAAACAAAGATCTGACTAGTAACCAAATACAGCTAAGTACTTGCTAGCTAATTCGGATGGATGACAGTTAAGAAAGAGGAGTATTAGGGTCCGTGGTGCGTTGGCACATGAGTACTTTTTGACCTTAAGATGCACCTAGATCTTATACTGACGCGTATATATGATTGGAAATTGTGCACTCATTCAAAGCGATCGATTGTGGCAAGATTCATTTAGAAATTGAAAGTTTATTAGTTTTGAAGATTCTACTGTTTTATCACAAATGATAAGACAATGAAATGTTTGCGCGTGAGCACCTTTTGACTTTGGAGAAATGTTAAGGAGATTCTCAAAGTGTACTGTGATTCTCTGTTACCTCACAATTTAACGTCAATTTTCGTGTCAACATTATAAAATATTGTGCAAAAAACAGGAGGTGATCAGAGATCCATGGAGAGTCCCACTATTAAAAGAAATATAAATTATTAGCAATTATAAACAGCTCAAAAGTGACTAACCATTACAAAATTCATTGAGAAATTGAAAGCTCTATCACCTAAGATCCAGTTCCCTCCATTGCATAGAATGCGGAATGATTTTTCCCACTCAGACCAATAGATTATTTTACTTGCATGCCATCATACAATTTTCAATTCAAGAAGCCTAGGAGCTTATGGGGTGAATATGCATGTTGAAAGAAGATGGGGAGAGCTAGGCAGCGGAGGGCATCATTGTGGTGGATGCAAAGTGGCTAATGCACTACATGAATGTGTAGTGTGGGGTTCTTAGGCGTTACCTTTAGGATGACCCTTTTTATAATCATTTCAAATAAAAAACTTATATAATACCAACAAATTTTCAATTTTAATGAACTTCCACATGTTTGATTAATTAATACTACAATTATAAATGTGACTTGCAAGTGATTGCACATGTTCGAAATTTACATTAACACATTATATCGATGAATAAAATGTTATGCGGTTCTTTGTCACAAAAAGAACATACCAAGTTCTATTTTCTTTTTCCAAATTTGGTGAGACAAATTGGATAATAGTTATGATTAAAGCAAGTTCAGAGTTCAACTCTCTCTTATGTTTAACATTAATTTCACACAAAATTACTTCATAAAGATAACTAGATTTTAAAACGCTTACATGAATTCATTTTGTGCGTACGATAAGATAGCTAGGGGGAATCTTATTGTTTTTTTACAATCATTTTGAAGTTGAAAATTTGTACGAGTTATTTAAATTTTCCAAATATCTGAGTAAACAATAATATCATTGAGGATGCCTATACTTTAGGGTTATTCGTCCTATGGCTCATGCAATCCATGATATATGCTAATTAAATCCAATAATTCTTCTTAGGTTATTGGATACCTAGTAGATCCCAACAAAAAGTTACAACTTTTAACTACTTTGGAGACTATTTACTTAAATTATATTTAACAAATTACGTAACGTGATTCTTGATAATTGAATTATTATGTAAATGTTTGTTTAACGAGTTTATTTACATTAGCTACACAACATATAGTCTGCAAATGTGGTCTAAATAAATAAACTCCCTAACATTTTTCTTTTTGCCCTAAAATAATAAGAGGAAACAATTAATATGTATCAAACTTACTGGTTTATCATGGATTCCAAGCTGAGACCATGTTATCATCTCAAGCAACTCTTCCATGGTTCCATACCCACCTAGTTATTCGCAGATATAAAAAATCCAGGCAAATAAAGAAGTAATTACTAATGAAATGCATGGTATATATCATGCATGCAGTTTAACAATTAATTTATTAATTACCAGAAGTTTAGAGATACTGTTATAATTGTAACTTTAATTAATTTGTTTTTGCTGGTTATAATTCAAATTAAAATTGTTAATAATGAAGGAAAGCACATGATGTATGTGTATATATACCGGGCAATGCAATGAAAGCATCAGCTCGACGAGCCATCTCAGCCTTTCTTTCATGCATGTTCGATACAACGAATACTTGTCCTACTGAATTGCCTGATATCTAAATAACATTCAATCACAACACAAAACAATAATCATCAGTTAGCATATGTATTATACGCACGCAGAAAAACTAGGAGAGAGAGAGAGAGAGAGAGAGAGAGAGAGAGAGAACCTCAAGTGGAATTAGGGCTTTTGGGATTACTCTAGCCAAAGCAAAAAAGAAGAACATTAATCACTTGATTAATTAATTAAAGATTCAAAAATCGTACTAGCTAAGCATATCTTTAAAATCCAAACTCTTGTTTTTATAACTTTCATGCTAATAATATAGTTTGAGGTAGTTATTATTAATTACTTGATCATCCTCATTGGTTAGTTCTTACCCAAGAACATGACATCCGCCATCATAAACCGTTTGAGAAACCAACCCCATCAACCCTACACTTCCTCCTCCATATACCAAATCCATCTTCCTCTCCACCTGCAAAATTAATCGATTAACTAAAAACCCTTGCAGTTAAAACCCTCAAATCCATCAAGCAAATTCACAATAAGTAAACAAAAAAATTTAATTAACTAATTAACCAGTGTGTTTTATCAGCTATATATATCGAGGTTATAAGTACCAACCAGTTCTTTCCCAAGTTGAAGAGCTGCATCACTGAATATCTTTCTGTGCCCAGAATTACTCCCACAAAATACACACACCGTTTTGAACTTACCCATTAATTATTTCTGCTGAATAAGTCGCAGGCCCTCTAACAATAAGAAGTCTACCTATCTCCACACACACACACATATATATATATACTCGATTTAACAATCCTGTACTGTGGAACTTGCATGACACGTGATAGGTGATGTTAACTGATTGGTACATATATAGGCCCCATGTATATGAAAATAATGCAAGTATTGTTCAATTTTCAGTCAAACAAGATTCTGCCTTTCTTTCAATCTCTTGTATTCTATATCTCATTTGTGTTTGGTGGGTGCACCAATAATATATTCCCTTCTCGATCTGCACCTTCATAGAATTTATGTAGAGGAGATTCATCGCTTGCTTTGATTTGGAAAAATCTTAATTGATCAACTATTGAGCTCTTTTATTGTATTCAAATACCAAATGTTGAACTCGTTGATTCTCTTTTCATCAACTATATCGGAAGAGGTTTGAAGTTTGAAAACTCACTCTTAATTGAAGAAAAAAAAAAATCTCTTTTGTTATTTGAAGATAGTTAAGTCGTACCCTCTTTCGCCTTGCTTATATAAAAAAGAAAATATTTATAAAATTACATTTTAATATGATATGGTCTTTTGACAGACCCATCTAGTGGCTAAAAACATATTGACTCAATCGTATTAACTAGTTTAAATGGTATACCTTAATACCTTTTAGTTTTTCATCCTATTGCTTGTTACTACTTTGGGTTTAGTTAGGATCATGCTTCAATCCTTTTTGATAAACTTCATGATTATGGTACTTAACCCCATTGTATAATTTGCAATGCATGCGTGGTTCTCACAAGTAGATGTTTTCTTCAATCCAATATAGGTCAAGGAACTTTAAAGCAAAAATGAAACTTTTGCTATGAATATGGAGAGCAACTTACATCGATCGCAATGTCACAGTAGTGGTTTACCCAATGCATAGATAAGTCTCTCTCATGAATCCTTAAGAACCACATATAGCTCCCATTGCTTGAAACACTTACCAACTTTTTTCTTTTAATATCTTATACTAAATGATCAATGGTGCACACTTGGGCCTTGACCATCCATGATTTAAAAGGCATGATACTAAAATGGGGGAAGAGATTCTCTCTTCCACCAAGGCCATCAGATCAAGTGATCCGGGCCTTCCAAATTTCATCCAACAACAACAACAACAAAACATTTTCCCACTAAGTGGGGTCGGCTATATGAATTCTAGAATGTCATTGCGCTCGGTTTTGTGTCCTTCCAAATTTCAACCAACAGCCAAAAATTATCATAGCTTTTAAGGGATCAAAACAAGTGGGCATTTGGATGAAATTTGGAAGGCCCGGATCACTTGATCCGGTGGCCTTGGTGGAAGATTTCCAGAGAGGATCTCTTTTCCTAAAATGGTGTTCAAGCGTGCATTATTTATGATGATGATGTACAATCACTGTGAGCCCACAACAAGGATTTAATTGAAGAAAATATTTTTGTTCACCAATCTAAAGTGATGGTGATGCTCACTATCTTATTTTTTATCATTTGATGAGTATCACCATCACTTAATTGGGATGGTGGCAAAAATGCACTCCTAATTAAAACGGAACTAGATCCCCTCCAGAGCTTAGGAGGCTGAGCCTCCTGAGCAAAGGATTTGAGCCGTTGAAATTTGATCTAACTGCTGCAATTATTATAACTTTTAAAGGAGTCCCCTGTTTGTAACCGTTGGATCAAATTTCAACGGCCCAGATCCTTTGCTCAGGAGGGGATCCGGTCCCAATTAAAACATCTCTCTCGTGCTTTATTATGATTATGATGCTTGACTAATCATGTTGAAATGCCTTTGGGCTTTGGCAGGCTACCTATAAAGAAATGTAAAACAAAGAACAAAGGCAGGAACCAAAAGAATTCACTTTTCTTTTTTGTTAGGATTGTGGAAGTCGACGTTCCATACCAAATTCATTGTCATTAACTGACAATGAAATGGACAATTTTTCAGTGTAGAACTGCTTTTCACGTCCTCACAGGTGTGTCCGAGGAATACCGTCGTAAGCATGACGGGCCTCCTCATGAGTCATGATCAATCTTTTTTAGTTGGGGTTGGAAGACATACAGTAAAACCAAGGACACATGAACATGTTGGTGAAATGTCTCTGGCTTAATTTTTTCTATTTTTTTCCATTTTATTATGAAGCGGCATTGCTGACTTTATGGCATTTGAATCCTTGAGAGTCTGCATGGATCGTAGTTTTCAAGTGGGAAAAGAAAATACTAAAGGGGACAGTAAAAAGCAAGCACAAAAGACTAGGATCAATGTAATTCGAATGATTGATATAATGACTCAGTTTGTATTAATTGTATTATACTCCTGTGTCCTGTGAGTCCAAGATGCCATGCTTTAACCGGACAGAAACAGTAAAACGCCATATATATGCATCCTAACATGATCTTAACTCTTCAAGTGTTCAAATCATCATACTAGGGACTAACAATCGGGTACTAATTTGAGTGCTAATGAGCATTTATTTTGTTTCTATGAACGGCTCTACAGGAGAGATTCTGTTGTGTCATCGCCCGGTGACACTCCATACTTTTTTCTCCTGCAGATGACATTCAAGTAAACCTATCAACATTGTTTGGAAGTAAAAAGAATAACAAAAAATCCCTTAATGTGATTGTAAGATATACACAAAAACCCCTAAATGTGAATCTTGATATTATATCATTGACTGAAGAGGTGTAAACAGCCATTTTACAAATGTTATTACAAAGAGTGAAAGCTAATGAAAACTTCGTTTTTTTTGGTAAAGAGTACTGTACAACTTGTAAGTGTAAACACTAATGGTGGCATGCCGAGTTCCAGCAACACTTTATTAGTATGCCACGCCATGACCCCGTTAATAAAACGTCAAAATCAATTGCAATCATCGTCATCAGCTATTGCTTCTGGGGAGTAATGGCCTCCAAAAAATCAGCATCTTTGATACATAAAGAAACTGCAACGAGGTGACACGGTATGCATCAGGTAGTCGTGGAAATGCTGGCAGGGAGCGCAGCGTGGCGTGCCACAAAGGACTCGATCAGCGGATTTACAAGGTCAGGTGCTTCATCCTTCAGATCAGACACATTAACAAATTACAAAATCAGCATTTGTTGTCAATGGGAACATTGTCAGTGTTTTTTCTAATCAAAGTCTGGAGTGGGTGATTAATTATATCTGCTAATAGGAAGTCTTTTCCCTATGCGTTTACAATTGGACTAACAAAAACCAGTTTCTCCGAGTCCTTCGGATTTTAGCATGCAATACAGAACCACATTGCATAGCCAACCGTCACAAAAACATATTAAATGACTCCATTAACCTTCATGCATGCAAACTTTTCAAGAGCTAAATTATGACGTCAGAATGTTTGTGAGAGAGAGAGAGAGAGAGAGAGAGAGAGAGAGAGAGACCTGAGGGCAGTGGCCAACATTAGGAAGAACAACGAAGTCTTCTACAGAATCAAATTTTCCATACTCACGTCCGAGTTCAATGGGCTCCCACGGATCCTTGTCACCCCAGCCAATCAAAACAGGGCACTGTAAAGAGAAGGGGGAAAAACAAGCTCCATACGTGTTAGTAATGGTAACTTTGATTGGTGTGACGGTTGGTAGCACACTTAATCATCTGGCGAGACTAACCTTCAATTGAGGCAATAGTTCCTCAGGAAGGGGGCCGCCCGAATAACAAATGAACTCCAGAAACACATCTACAGCACCAGGCTCAAGTCCTGGAAGAAGGATTTTTTGAACTAGTTCCTCTGTCACTTGGGAGGTGTCGTGGTAGCACTGAAATGAAAGTTGCTGTATCAGTAACATAATCAAAGCCAAAATGGCAAGAGTGCATGTTCATAACTTTATAGGTTCTCTAAGGGCAGAAGATAATTTGGAAACAGGTTTCCTAAGGCCAGATGAAAGTTTCTGAGATGTACAATTTGCGCAGCTACATGTTGCTTTAGAGTCTATATGCACATATCTGTTTTCGCTTTGCAACGAAGTTGCAGTACAAAGACTACATTCTTTGAAAAATTCCCGTTGTCTACATAAAAATTTCTGGTCATATGCTATGAATCTATGATTCTCAACCATGACAGAGTCATTAAAACAAAACTATATTTGCTTATCAGATCACCTTGGTTAATGCACTCGTATATTATAAGCTTATGAAAAAATACAATCTTGATATCGAAAAATACCTGGCTAAGGATATTCCTGACAGATTGTGGTGTGGCAACAGTTTTGAAGAAGTATTTGCCCACAGCAGTATTTCTGTCACAACACATGACTATCTTGAAATCCTTTTTTACACTCTAGAACTCTAATATGAAAAACAAACTATTTAATCCGCCTTTACCTCAGCAAGTTCTGAAAGGATTTGATCAATGGTCTCCCGTACCAAGGCTGCTTTGTAATATGCAGCATACGAAGAGAAATATTCAAAAGCATTATGCCCTTGCATAACTGTGGCTCCATAACTGCTGCCTGAAGACCGACAAGTCCTATGTGAAGCCATGAAAAGCACTTGTAAGGTTAGATCTTTTTTTATATCATTCAAAAGAAAAAGTTCAGAAAGATCAAGGGCTCCAAATATCTGTACCTCCGATAGAGTTGCATATAAAGAATGCTTCACCCTTGACAACATCAGTACAAAAATCATTTAGCTGGCTGGCCCATGTCTCAAATGTATAAAACAAAGTTTCCCCGAATTGACGAGGATTTGGTTTGTCTGAGTACCCATAACCAATAAGATCGATAGAGTATACCCTGTGTGATTTTGAAAGAACTGGAAGATTTTTCCTCCAATGATCACTGTAAAGGATAAAATGATTGTCATATGTACCGAAATTGACAAGTTAAAGCATGGGATGAAAGAGATCATGGACAAGATGAGGGTTTAAGTTCTAGATTGCAACAAAACCCAGAAATTCAGAGTTTGGTCTGTTGGTTTGTTCTTAAGCATTAACAACAGTTTCATCAGCTAATGATCTGACTAATTAAATCTAGTTAGCAAAGAATTAACTCTCTCCCAGTTGTGTACAAAATAATCCTA